GGGGGGGGGGGGTACGGTGGCTGGGGAACACTGCTCGGGAACAAGGCCCCTGAGGGAGAAAACGGGCAACACGGCGGGTCATGCCACCCACGGCATGGCGATGTCTGTCCGCGGGGAGGGGAAGCAGGTGCCGCTGCCTGGGCTCGGGTCCGGGACGCACGCGGCACCACACACACGTGGAAGAAAGCTCAGGATGTCTTGACAGCAGCAATATCCAATATCCCAGCAGGAGCACCTGCCTCCTGAGGTGGGGGAGGGGGGCGAGTCTACGTGTGGGAAGCGTGTGCATGGGGCCTGGCGTCCCAAGTGCCCCAGGAGTCCGGGCGGGGCACCAAGTAATTCTTGTGCCTGACGCCACCTGATTTTCAACACAACCCGAGGAGACACGCAGCAGCGACACCCGGACGGTGCGAGCAAAGAGACCGTGGCTCTGGCGGCAAAGCGGCCGTAGGGGACTAGTGTGTAGCTGGCCATCTAGGAGACCCTAGCTCGCCCGCCGAACTCGACACAGCATCCCCGAATGGGTCTTCTCTCTTTGAACGTGAGGCTCTCCGCACGTGGTTCTGGGGCGTGGCCACACTCCAGCCGAGCCCTTACCCTCAGGAACATACAATTCCGTCTAGGGGCTTAGGAAAGAACATTCCTTGACTGAGCTGGGGTGGGGAGAGGGGCTCCAGGGAAGAAAGGTATGCTTTCTGTAACTTCAGATGACACACAAAAGACAAAATCAGAAGTAAACAGGCTTTCTGGAGCGTTTTGTTGTAAGAAGCACCCGCAACTTTCTTTCTTTTAATAGGATACAGTGCTATGCTCCAAGCTATCAGGAACCATCCTGTTCTGTGCTTACTCTCTAAAGGGAATTTTTTTTTTCTTTCCTGAGAAGAGCAGAAGAGAACGCTAATCAAGTACTCTTTCGCTTTTCCTTACATACTGTTCCATCTGCCTGTGCTGCACAAAAGGCGCGACGTAACGAGAATAATCCCCCACGCAGCTATTACCAACTGTTGCAATAATCTGCATGGTACTAATGTGCACCATATTGAACATCCTGCGATCTACTAGTTTAAAATAAGGTTCTCTTTGGAAGTGGGTTCCTTCTAATTATGACTTACTCGTTTATATTGCAGGTCAACTTCCAAAAAGGAGCCCCACTAATTACGAGCTAGCAAGGGGGTAAATCTCCTTTCAGCCTGCCCCAATCAGTATTTCCCAGTGACTCAGTAAGAAATTCCAAGCAGCGTGGGGCTAGAGAATCTGGGACTAATTCTGTGTGCCCTTGCCTAAGGAAGACCTATAAATTGTACAAACCCTAACTCCCAGGCCAGAACCTTCTGTATCTGTGGGCTGTTTCCCTTTGCACTATACTCAGCTGGTTTAAAAAAGAGAGAGAGAGACAGAGACACTACTAAAAACAATGCATCTTTTTGACCCAATTTGCTTCCCCACCAACACTGTCAACTACTGAGACAGAGAAGCTTGCGGAGCGTGACGTGGAACCCGCCAGCATGCATGTGATCGGGGGGAATCTTCCACAAATGACTGAAAAGAGACGCGCCTACAAAGGAAGCATCCTGGGTGATGTCTTTTCTTTCCCTAGACGTACAAATGAACTCCACAATCGTGTACCCTTGAAGGGGGGGAATCCTGCTTTTATTTCGTTAACTACTTTTTTCTAAAAGAATTTGCCAAGGATGAGAATAGTGGACTGAAATCCAAGCGGGTGAGCTCTTAGAAGACGCTCCAGCAGCACTGGCCCCAGGCGTCGCCCTCCCATGCGACCCCGGGAACACAGCCTCCGAGCGGTCTGTGTGCTCAGAATAAGACTGAAATACAACGGGCCAAGAGTCCAGGAAATTGAGCAGTATGCTAGGTGTTCGCTCTTGATGCCTGCGAGAGCAGCTACTGGAAAACACAGTTAAAATAAATCTTTGCAAGGAAAACTGTATGTAATATTACGCCAGCGTTATAGATAATTAATAACAAGTCAGCTTAAGCCTTACCAAAACGTTTTGCCGACTCTTAAGATTTTCTGTTTGGTCTCACAAGTTTACTAAAAAAGGTGACAATCACTACTTCACATTACGAACTTCGTTTTATTATTTACGGGGATAGTCTGTTTCCTTCAGGAGATTACAAGCTTCTTGCAGGCAAGAAGACATCGAGAGCATGGTAGCCATAAAGTCTGGAAATGAGTCACGTCGTGACTGTTTTTTTAATAAACTGAACCCCCCGGATTACGTCTTCTGTGGCACGTGTGGTACAAGTCACGCGCAGAATCTGGTGGGACGGTGGCATCCCAACCAACGGGGCCCAGCACACGGGCCTCCGTGCTGGATACAGGACAGCGCCCTGAGCAAACCACGTGACCTCACACCACGCAGTAGGCAGTGCCATGCAGGAGCGGCAAGCCCTCGTTTCCAGGCATCAGAGCCACTCTCGAGGGGTTCAGTAGATGTTTCTGAAGTTGGAACGGAGTCCTCGGTCCCTCAACTCTAACATCTTCTCTTTTGAGTCAACAAAAAGTCAGCTCTTCTGCTACCTACATCACAGGTTGGAAAAGACAGGTAATACCCACGCTGGCAGATGTGAGAATGGAAATCCTGCCTGGAAGTCATCTGACAACATCCATAAAAAGCATTAAGAACGTACACATCTAGGGGCGCCTGGGTGGCGCAGTCGGTTAAGCGTCCGACTTCAGCCAGGTCACGATCTCGCGGTCCGTGAGTTCGAGCCCCGCGTCAGGCTCTGGGCTGATGGCTCGGAGCCTGGAGCCTGTTTCCGATTCTGTGTCTCCCTCTCTCTCTGCCCCTCCCCCGTTCATGCTCTGTCTCTCTCTGTCCCAAAAATAAAAAAAATAAAACGTTAAAAAAAAAAAAAAAAAAAAAAGAACGTACACATCTCCTGTCCTGCAGGGTCTACTTTCAGAAATTTGTCTGAAAGAAAGAGCTGAACAATCATACAATGACGAGGTCATGAATGCTCACTGCAGCATTGTTTAAAATAGAAAAAAAAGACAGAGTTGCCCACAGGTGAGAGGACAGACCTGGCGGTTGCCAGAGGAGGTGGTGAAGGGTGGGTGCGACGGGTGACAGGGGTCAAAAGGTACCAACTTCCAGGTTGTCGAAGAAGCAAGTCCTGGGGAGTTGAGGTACAGCCAGGAGGCTGAAACCGCGCTGGGTACTTCGAAGTCACTGACAGGGTGCCTCGCGCAAGTTCTCATCACAAGAAACAAAGATTTGCAACTGCAGTGGCGGATGCTAACCGGACTCAGTGTGGTGATCGTTCCCGATATGTGCGAATGCCGAATCACTACACTGTACCCCTGAAGCTAATACAGTGATATACATTGACTATTTCTCAATTAAAAAAAAAAAAAAGACAGCGAGTTTGTTTAGACAGAGTATCCGTCTAAAGAACCAGAAGCGGCTTTAGAAGGTGTCATCGGATGACTCTACTTCACGGAAGAGGGAACAGACAGAAACGACGACACTCCTCTAAACGAGGCCCCACAACTCGTTAGCCGCGTAAACCAATCAGAACTCAGGTCTGCTGAAAAGAACACTACGTGGACACCACCCGGTAGAAAATAAAAGCAGAGAACAGTGACATACTTCCCAGGGAGATGAAAAGCACCTTGCTGCATCCCTCTCCCAGCATCCACTGACAGGGACGCTGTGGCGCCCACTTCGTGCCCAGCGGCACCGGGGACCGTCTCCAGGCTGAAAACAGCCTTCGTGCAGTCTGCGGGCAGTGCTGGTCGCTGTGGAAACCCTCTAACGGGCAGGGGTGCAGTGCAAAGTGACACGCGGGAGCCCGTCAGGCGACAACCAATGAGCAAGAGGGTGCAGAGCGGGGCTGTGCTAGTCGGCACTGACAGCCGGCAGGGTGGGAACCCAAGAAGCCAGGTTGTGGGGGGGGGGGGGGGGGGGGGAGCCCTCCACATCAGCCTCGTCTTGCCCGTTCCCTTACCTCCTCTCTGCTAACGTCCATGTTCCACACTGCGATTCCGCCATCCGACGAACAGGAAACGAGCTGCCTCGTGAGCTGAAGGTAACACAGGGACTGCACCCTGTCACTGCAAACAACACACATCGGTCACTTGTCTCGACGTGGAAAAATACAGGCTCAAATCTCGCCCCTTGTTGGAACCAGCAACCGGCATTTTGCCACTTTCAGGTACGGTAATGTGGCCTCTGGCATACACTTTAGTCAGATGATGTGTAATGACTCTGTAACTTACTATACGGCATCAGAGTTTCCACGAAAGAAACACTACTTTCAAATCAGTCATTCAGCATCACAGGCCACAGAGAAGACGATGGCTACAGTCCTCTGGGCCAATCCCTGTGGTCCATTCCTTTTCGGGTGTGCAAGATTCACCTACTTGTTCATAACGAAGAGCAAGGAGGGGTGACGCCCTTACTGGAACGCAACCCGGAAACAATCTCCTGACCTACAGACTTGTGTGAAGGATCGTTCCTCGGCTACTTTGCAACCTGACTCTGCTTACAGTAGACATCAACAGCCTACCCGAGAGCGAGGAAAGGAAAGGCCAATGTCCTCTTCCTCTGAACACTAGAAGGCAAGAACCTGAGTAATGTGACATCATGGCTCAGGTGACGGGGCCTGTGTCAAACCACACCCGCACATTACTTTTCAGAATAACCAAACCGGTTAGGCATCCAGTTCCAGACTGGCTTAGCATGGCATTCCGTGCAAGCTTCCCCGGCCAAAGTTCTCACCCGCAGTCCTTAACCCACCTGTGCCCTAAGCAGATATTTCAAGAGGGTGACTCCTTGGGACAGACAGGTGGCAAGTGCTCTTTGGACAAAGAAGGAAGAAGACTCTGGGCTTTTTTTTTTT